AGTGACAAATCCCAAGTCAGGTGCCTCCATTTGTAACCAAGAGAACCTGAGGCAAGGCCTTACCTATTCCTCACTAGACTTCTGTGAGGATACTTCATCACTATTTTTTAATCAATAAAATTAATGATTTTAAACACATAATGAAAAGAATAGCTGTGCTGTGCTGAGGATTTTCTGAACTTGGCAATATCTCTGCACAGATACTACCCACTCTATGTGGGATCTCCTTCACTCCTATGGTGGTCTGATGAGCTGGCTCTTAGGGTTGTACAGATGAAGCTTTGGAAGTTGGAGGGATCAAGTAGCTTTCCCAGGCTAGGCTGGTGGTAGAGCTGACATCTGAGTCCAAAGCCTATTGTTTCTAGTGTCAGGCATTATATTAGATGCGCATTCTGTTCTCTGGTAATACAATTAAGAAAACCAACATATGTACAGATATGTTTTTAAAGAAGAAAATGACATCACGTCCACTTGTTTGAGGCATCTTTTTTCCCGAGTAGGTGGAGGTGGGGGGGGCAGGGGGGGCAGCACCTCTCCTCCATCACTAGAGTCACAGACAATGCCCCACCACAAAGCCAGATGAACAAGAAAACAGAATGGATCCAACCAAAGTTTTAGTGACGAGGGAGTGTTCAGAAGCAAAGACTGAGAGGTGCGGTGCAGAAAGTGTATCTTTCTATGTCTGGGCTCAGTGAAGATGTACAGCTGTGTAGAAATAGGGCTGGACAAAAAGAGTGAGGTCTTACGTACGTGTGACTGAGAGGCAAACTCAGCAGCACCTGTTGGTGTTCTTTTGTCACAGAATGAAGGTCCCAGGAGCCACATACTATCAGACATGGTAGTTCAGAGAATTTCTTTGTAAGAATCCCTCACACAGACAGAGAAGTTTATGGCCACCTTGGGAAGAGGCTCTGGCTTCTCTGACTAGTAGAGAGCTAGGGTGGCAGAAAGAGACCTCACCCTGGAGGCTCTTGCTTTGTCATTTCTTTCAAAGTGTTTGGCTTCTGTTGTCAATGGTTCCATTAGTTTATATTGGATATATGCAAAACACATATTTTATATCTGTTTACATATACGCACATGTATGGGGGTAAAATTTACTAACATGAGATCAGTCAAAGATGACTCTTCCACTCCTTGGCCAAAGTGAGCCTTCAAACTCTGTGACTGTCCAGCCTCCCCGTCCTTTCTTCCACAGCTGGCTCAGGGCAGCCAGGGCTGAGGCAGACAAAAGGGAGCTGGGAAATCTCAACTAGAAAGTCGAAGACAATTTGTACCAGAGTGACGGGTGAAGGGTGCGTTGGGGGGAAAGGGATGGGGGGAGGTGGAGGGACACAGAGAGCATGAAGATATGGAGAAAGGGGGATGGTACAGAGGGGGATCTTACAGCCAGACAGAGAGGGGAGAAGGAAGCAGAGGGAGGGGAGTCATGGGAAACACAGAAGAGAATGGCAAAGGCAGACTGGAGGCTAGGGGTAGAGAAGATATCCTCTGGAGACCTGCACATGCAGGGGATGTGGTGTGGAAACTCAGGGGAGTGGGTCAGACAGACATCAGGAAGACAGGAAAGAAAGCAGGAGAAAGGCAGTGGGGGCTGCTTTCTGGTTCCCTTTCCAAATTCTTTTATGGATTAAAAAAAAATTGGACAGGACTCCCCTGCGTTGCCCTTGGTAGTTTCAGATTACTATGGGCCTGCTTCAGTTTCCCAAGTGCTAGGAGACGGGATGTTTGTACTGCAGGTGTGCACCAGTCCTGGCTTAGGCGCTCTTTTGCCTGGTTGCCCTGAGCCTGTCTGTTCACGTGAGCCTTTGCTGTGGACTGTAGTCTTGTTAGGTAAGCATGTCTCTATGTACACATACATGCTTTATATAGAAGGACCCTGGGCACAGCACTCTGATGCTTTCTGCCTCTCAATCTCTGTCTCCCTGTCTATCTCTGTCTCCCTCTGTTTCTCTGTCTCTCTGTCTCTCTTTTTCTCTGTTTCTCTGTCTCTCTCTCTCTCTCTGTCTCTCTTCCTTTCCATTAATAAAACGACAGCAATAGCAACCACTGCAAGGTGGTTGTTAGGGTTAACATTAAAAAGTATCCCTTAAATAACAATGTAAATTATTTAACACAGATCCGAGAAGATAAGATGCAGAAGCCTCCACTATCCTGGAGCCAACAATTCCTGGAGCTCCCATGCTTTGACTCAGTCCACCTCCTTGCTGATCACTCCATGCTGAAGCTCTTGATCCTGAAAGCAGACTACTCAGCAGCCTTTTCTCTCTCTGCCTCTGGCTGATCCACTGCTCCAGGCTGGTCGTGCGAGCGCTTGGTTCTCAGTTCTTATTTTTGCCCAGTGTCAAGGCATCACCAAGGCCATCAGGTCCTCTTGTCACTATACCTCCCTGTGCACCTTTCATTTCAGACTGCTCACCTGACTCCAGATCTCGTGCGTACTCTCTTGCCATCGCTTCCAGAACCACTTCCCTCTTTGGCCGCTCTTTGATGAGGTCACCCTATGCCTGCCATTGGGAGTGTCTGAAATCTCACCACATCCCCTCTTTTTCCTAGCACAGTCTATCAGTGGTTACTTCCTGACAGCAGGATGAAACCACACTCACTGGCTACTATCCAGGGCTCACCAAACCTGGCTTACCTGTACTTCCAACTGCCTCACCTGTGCCTATACTCTAACCACATTCCTCCCCTGTCAGCCAACTCTCCTTCAGTCACTATCAGCCACTGTCTGTACTCAGGGCTGATTGGCTGCTTCAGCCACGCCCCCTTCACGGTCACCTTTCAAACCATACCTAGGTATCAGGTACTGCAGTCTTCCCTTCCCCTAAGAAGCCTCCTTTGACTGTCTCAAGAAAATGAGGTCACCTAGACAGACACAGGGAAAAGAGAGGCAGACTTCAAGGTGGCTAGAGGGTACGGCAGCTGCATAGCTGTGCTATAGCTGCATATCGTATGACCCTCAAAGGTAAAGAAATAAGACCACTCAGGACCACTGGGGCTAACAGCTGATCAAGAGGACCACTAACTGTCGTTTGCCTCATTTTAATGGCATCTCTGTATTATTAGCCTGGTAAAGTTGCCTGTTCGTACTATGCAGGTGACACCAGGTCACATACGGAGGACATATAAAGACAGAAAACAGGAAAAACCTTACTGGGAAAAATCCCATCCTATTCTCTGCTCCTGCCCCATGCCATTCAATTCAAGAATAATCTTCCCTTCCATTATTCATCATAAGGTAAGCTATCCTACACTCCATGGGGTGATCTCATCATAAGGTGAGCTATCCTACACTCCATGGGGTGGTCTGATCTCTTGAGAAGCCTGATTCACACCTTGAGTATGTGCCTCTGCCCTGTAATAAAGTGCTCTTCTAGTTGCTCACTGGGTCTACCTGTCTCTCAATTCTTTTTCTGACAGTGCTCGGAACCCAGCTCTCAGCCAGGTCCTTGAAGCCTACCCAGCCTTGACCACAGGTAACAGAAAGGCCATGCACGTACATCCCATTTACTCAAGAGGCTGGCCAAGCTCCTCAAAGCCTAATCAGCAGCCTTTGAACTGATGCAATACTTTCCGGAAGGCTACACACAGGCAGTGTACACACTGGACTGTGTACATATGGCCACTTGGGGGTAAAATTCCAGGTACTCCCCTTCTCTTAGAATGGGGAGAGGAAGACTATAATTCCATTCAAGAGACTTTTTTGATGACCTACTATGCGCTGGGTACAGTAAAGATGGGCTCAGCAGGGAGCAGGTGCCCTACAGATGAAGGCTATGTTCATGCCCACGGTTTTACGCCTATGAAGATGAAGGAGACCCTGCGGTCCTCACCAGCCACTGTACACCACTCACCCACACTGCCCCACAGGTGCTTTCTCTGAACACGGTTCCCTTTGTGCCTACTCCTTCACAGAGAACACTGACTGGAACAAGCTTGAAGAGGCAGAGGAACCCTTGCTCCCCTTCCACCTTCCATGTACGCTTGGTCTCCCACTGGAGAAGAACCCGTGACAGATACACTGCCAGCTCCCTGTCCTGCCTCTGGGGAGCAGCAGATGGATGGGCTCTGCCAGGACCCTGCTGCCCACCCTAGGCTGGTATAGACCCTGTGTCAGCCATAACTCCAGGCTCTGAGCTGAGGTGACTGCCCCGTGGAATGAGGATTTGTGCATAACATATTAAATTTTACATGCAAAGCTATCTGACACAGGTAATTTGTCAGACCCTGAGAAGGCCAGGATAGCTTTCGTCTGAGGCGGGGAAACGTGTATCAGTCAAGTCACCAGAGACTAAGCTCCCTACTCAGAGACCGCAATGCAGGCCAGCTGCTCCAGGTCCTCCAGCTGCTCCCTGGGTGGGGGTGGGGAGCAAAGTCCAGCTTTGGAAAGGATTCTCAGGTTGTTTTCACACCTCCTTCACACAGTCCTCATTTTACAGAGCTTTCCCACAGTATCTGTTTGTAGTTTAGTCTTGTGGTGGATGCAAATGTTTGCAAATAAAAAGCTTTCATACATTTATCAGAGAGCAGTCCTTGTTTCAGATGCCCACTCTCTGCAGGAAGGAGGGCCTCACACCTACCAGGAGAGGCAGAAAGCACACCCATTGGTGTGAAGAACGAGAGGCAATTCCAATGGATGCTTCCTTACTACAAGGTGAAGACAGCTCTCCTCAGTAGGGAAGATGGCACCCAGCAAATATTTTTCTGATCAAGCCAATTTTGTCTGAGGTCAGTTATTTACTCAGAGTTGTGCTGACTCAAAACATCTCTCACCGTTTCTCATCTATAGAACATACTAGGAATGTTTTGGCTTTTGCTTATATTGGTGACTTCCTGGAGAGATTTACCTGTCACACAGGTCCCTGCATTTGTCAGGGATTGGTAAAATGGCTTGGGCTGGTGGTCACTACCTTCTCTCGCACACAGCACACAACCTCCCCTGCTCATTATCAGGAGGAGGTAGCAGGGTCACAGAGACCTCTCTTCGCTATGCCTACCTTCCTCTCCTTGTCACCATACTCCACGCCCAAAGTATCCATGGCCCGGACAATGGCTGCCAGAGACTGGATGGTGTTGCTGTAGACGACAGGCTTGTACTGCTTCACGTCTTCTCCAGAGAAGCCATCTTCGTGGATGATCCTGGAAGAAGAACCACAAAATAACACGTGATGAGTGCTGTGTCCTCACTTGACATGGACAACACAGGGTTTGGAGGCCCCAGCGTGAGCCCTGCGTTCACGGAGGGAGAACGGAAGAGCCATGTCCTGTGGAAATGATGGATTACTGAGTTGCTCTATAGGTGCTGTAAAAACTAAAAAAATCTAAAAAACAAAACGAAAACCCATTTACCTGAGTTACTGAGTAACTACAGTATATCATCTTCATATTCTATATACAGAGAAAGGAACAGGGGGCTGAAGACACTTGAAAGCACCTGCAGCAGGAGCAGCAGACACCAAATGCTCAGCCCATGCTCACTGCTGGTGACCTAAGAACAGTGCGGAGCCTTGACTTGTGTACACACAGAGGGTACTGCTGAAGATCCCTGAAAGAACCGAGCAAGTGAAAGACACAATCTCAGTCTCTCAAACAAGCCCCACCCCTTCTGCTGGTGTGGATCAAACCCAGGATCAGATGGATGTACTTGCTAGGTGAGGACACGTCTCCAAGGGGAGATGGCAGCCACGCCCACAGCTCACTCACAGTGCTTTTAATGAACGCAGGGTGATGCGTGGGTTAAATGAACAGCCATCCTAGCCTGTGCACATGTGTAAGATATACCATTGGAGGAAAAGCCAGCAGAGGGCATTTCCATATTCTTCCTTAGCTGGTAACCCTGTTCTGCTGGATCTTAACAACTGACAGAGTCCACACAGGGCACATCACAGAGCGGAGGTAGTGTGGTACATGTTCATTGCTGACAAGGATTCAGGAAAGAGGAAATCACACACAAATGGCAAGAATAGTCTTAAAATGGAAATAAATGAAAAACAAGCACATTTTAAGGACAATGTCAGAGGTTCTTTGTGCTTTGACAGACTGTGTGAACTCTTTGGTGGCCACATTTCCAGAACAGGAATTATTACCACGTATAACAGACTCAGGCTTGAGCATGAGAGCTGGGCCCTCTTTCTATGTCATCAAAGCCCCTGCCCAGGCCTTCATCACTTCCTTTCTGTCTAGAAGAACACCACAGACACATATCGTGAATGTGGCTCTATTGGGATTCATTCATATGCCACACAGTCTGCCTAAAGCACATAGCTCAATAATTGCTTTAGTAAATTCAAGAAATTGGTCAACCACAATTGCATTCCAGCTGTGGAGCATTTTGTGCCCTTCCCAAAGCATCCCTGTGCCCATCACCAGTCACTCTGCAGACCCCACTTCAGCACTAAACCACCACCCATCTACACTATTTCTAAAGATGTGCATAGTGTGGCCAGTCCACATACATAAGAATATACGGTATGTGTGTATTTGTGACTGGTCCTGTCATTTAACAAGTCTGTCTTTTCAAGGGGCTGGAGAGATGGCTCAGCGGTTAAGAGCACTGAAATGTTCTTCCAGAGGTCCCGAGTTCAATTCCCACCAACCACCTGGTGGCTCACAACCATCTGTAATGGGAACTGATGCCCTCTTTTGATTTGGTGTGTCTGAGGACAGGGACAGTGTACTCACGTACGCATGATCAATAAAATCTTAAAAAAAAACAAGAAAAAATGCCTTTTCAAGATATGCCCATGTTATAGCATGTCTCATCAATACATTCTTTTTTATTGATGAGTAATATTCCTTTGTATGGGCCTGCTACCATCAAGTTAGTCAGTCATCAGTTGAGCGACAGATATTAACTTCTGTGGCAAAGTGAGAGTGCTGGCTGTGGGTCCCAGTCTGAGTTTCTTTAAAAGCAGAGCAGAAAGACTCTGTGGACAGCTTGTAGGTTTGATTGATACTAAGTCTGGTTTTTGTTTTGTTTTGTTTGTTTGTTTGTTGTTGTTGTTTTTACAAAAGCTTCCTTTTAACTTACAAGATTTGTTTCTGTGAGTGTTTGCCTGCATGCATATAAGTGCACCACACATGGATCTCGTGTCCCACAGGTTAGAAGACAGGCTCAGATCCCTTGGAACTGGAGATGCAGGCAGTTGTGGGTGCCGAGAAGGGAACCCGAGTCCTCTGCTTGACCACTGAGCCATCTTTCCAGCTCCTGCCAAATCCTCTTGACGGAGCAACAGTCAAACAGCCCACAGGTTTGTGACCCCCAGAAAGTCCCGCAGGGAAATGCTAGCACACTGCATAGAGCTGGATAAGTGGAAGGGACAAGGGGACACTGGCTGTGCAGTGGCCTGTGGACTACAGGCTGGAGAAGCCAGGGACACCACAGGGGCTCATGGGCCGCAGGGGTGAGGATCAGCACTTGAAGGTTAAGGCAGCTGAAGCAGAGAGGAAAATGCTGAGGAAGGGTTCTTGGCATCTTTGTGGAGTTCCTGAGGGTCTTTGGCTGAGCAGAGGAGACTCCACAGCTCAAAAGGAAGTGTACCAGAGAAAGAATGTGCTCCAGGGGCCTTGGTGGCTGAACACTTGCCAGCACTTTCCCCAAGCCAGGAGATGGACCTCTGAAAAGTCAGAGGGCAGTCCCTGGGGACTGCTGGAGCCCGCAGCAGGAACCCAGAAGCCACAGCAACTAGGTCAAGATAGTTCTCATGGCTCCCTGAGGGCCTCCTGACACTGTCAGAAAGAAAGTCTAAGAAATCCACCTGCCCATAACTAACTTAACTATCCCAAAGAATAACAGAAGAAAGACAACAAGTTTTAGATGGGGATGGCAAAATCTAGATACTCAGCAGTGATACACATGATACCACCTTCCAGGGTGGAAATATCCTGGCTCTGGAGACAAGCAAGGAAGTGTGGCTCACAACCATGAGAAGCATCAGTTGACAGAGATAGAGGTGGAAGAGACACCGATGACAGAATTAACACTGTCTTGCAAAATAATATTTCAAGACATCAAAGGAGATTGTGAGTACAATTCAGAGATAAATGGAAGATATAGAAAATAACTGTATTAAAAGTTGTCCTAGGTGAAATTAATGGCAGATCAGATATACAGAAGATTGTCCAAACTGAAGACAAAGCAACAAAACTATTCAAATGGAGGCAGAAAGAGAAAGAGCTAAAAACACCTTATAATGCAAAAGTTCCAGTAATGCAAAGGATGGGGTGTGTGGATGCAGAAAGATGCATCTGGGAAAATTTCACATAACTCAAAAGTATATTAAAGTGTGTGAGATACACATGGGAACTTAAGAACAAACACTAACAACTGTAGAGAAGGCAGCGGGCACTCAGGCTCCATAAGCAGGTCCCTCAGGAGGCTAGCACTGTGCTGACCTGAGAGGTGCAGGTGAGATCTGCTGGCTTTCAGTGTGATGTGCTTCCCCAGAAGCAAGGGCAGATACCAGGACTTCACTTCTGACCCCTGGACCTACCACTCATCTGGGGATGTTCTCCAGACCCCAGCTTCTTGAATGTGGGCTGTGATCCCATAAGATCCTATAACTGAATGTAGGGTTATGACAAATTGGATAATAGGAAAAGGTTTCTGAAGAAGTAGTGGCTAAGAATTAATTGAAAATTAAATACATAATGAACCTGAGATGTCTTTGGTGTTACACATTAAAACCACATATATGTTACATATACTGCTATACATTTATATTACGTGAAGCAGCGTTCTCAACACTGACAATTGTGAAATCAAACTATCGAACAATGAGGACAGACTCCTGCAGTGTCAGATACAGCCAAGATCTAATTCTGTATGAATAAAGATTAACAAGCACATCTATCTCATTAATATCCAAATTTGTTTTACCCTTTAATTAATGGTAAGAATATATGTATACCACAGAGTTGTTTTAAAATAAACCTCTAAAGCATTTTATTACTATTAAATGCTTGATTTGTTTACCTATACTATGTATACACACACCTGGGGTTACATAAAAATTTCTCTGGCAAAGAAGTTGGATGGGGAAAAGAATGAGACAACTTTTCTTTCGATCCATGGTTGGCCAAGGGATTCCTTTTCCCATGGGGTTGGCACCATCTTTTCCCACACTCACCTCCTGAGGTAGGAACACTAGGTTTTCATTACATCCATATAACAAAAGAGACTGAGGCTAGGAGCTTAAGCCATTGACCCAGTCTCTCGTAGCAGATCAGCTGAGGCCAGAACCCATGTCTAAGCTGACAGTCCTTCTGACCACATCTGTTCTATCCCCAGAACACACAGATTACTGCCTCTCAGATTCAGCCTGGTTTCTGGCGTGGCCCAAAAGAAAAACATAGAAATGATGCAATTTGGATCAAGGGTTCAAAATCATGAGTAGAAGTCCTGTAACTTGTCGAATTGGCAAATATTGGCTTAAACTGGGCTTCCAGGGGTAAGGTTTTACAGCATCCCCAAGCAAAGAGTCCTAAGTCCCACATAGCACAAGAATATATGGTCCACACAAGACAGCAGTGCAAGGCTTGTCCTTCTCATGCCATCCTCCACTTCTTCCTCTTTCAGAGTTCAGGCTGAGATCTTTGTGAATATTAAATGAGGTCCCTTTATCTTCTCTCTCCTCACATCACTCCAGTGACAGCCAGTTGCTCCTATACTGCCTCTGCTGTGAGGGTCTAACTGTGTCATCCCTGGTAAATGCCTTCCCTGAGCAGTCTTGTTTCCTCATTAGCAAGCCGTTCTGAGAAATAAGATGGGTGTGGCTGAGCAAGCCAGACTGATGGAGGCAGGAGGATCAGAGATTCAAGGCCAGCCTGGACCACAAGAGACCCTGTTTCCAAAATACAAAACCAAAAACCCAAGGGAAAAAGAGAGACTACAGGGAAGACACTCCAAATAGTGGCCAGTAGGAGTCGTGGTCTCATTCTAAAGTCAACCTCCTGGTGCAGTTTCTGTCACCAGGTGCAGTTGGTGCACCTGGTGCAGTTTCGAGGTGGCCTGAGTGCGAGGGTTGCCACTCAATGCTAAATGTTTCACCTGCTACATTGCTTTTAATCTTCCAAGCAGCCCCAGGCTTGATAAAAATCACCAGCTCCTCTCTACAGACAAGGTTAGGCCACTTCCTGGA